AAATGTGCTGGTAGCTTAATCATGCCACAGTAACGGTATTTGCCCTCAACGCCGATGCAATTTACTCTGGCACTTGCCGGCAGAAGTACGACTAGCATAATAATCCTGCAATATTGCACAAATGTGCAGCAAGCAGCTGGTCTGCTGCACTGCATTCGTCCGCCTTTTATTCCAAGAGTTTTTTATCTTAGCTCTGCTTCTTTGCTAGAAGAAGTCTTTTCATTGTTAACTTGGGCTTCGTGATATGGATCTCGCTTCTACAGTAATGTATCCATGGCAAAGCCAGATAGTTGTAATTGTAAAGCTTGTGCTTTCATAGTGTAGCCTAGATGATTTTCAATGTACCACCGCATGTGGTACATGGAGCTGCTGTCAGAAATGTTGCGACCCCCCAGAGTGACAACTACCTGCTCAAAAAAACTATCCAGAATATTATTAACGGTTGTGAAGCAGGCATCATCCGTGGGCATGTCCCCTTTAGAGTCAGTTACATACAGATCACAAGAAAATCGAACATCTGCCAAACTAATAAGTTCAGTTTGACACGGAGCAATGGTTAAAAACATATTCGTTACACGTGTTTGACGAGGCTTGTGTTGGCCCGATATCATAATCACGGGTATTCCACCTTTCGGTAAGAGTCGCAAGAAGATAAAACAAACGGCTCTCTAGGACCACAGAAGGTTCGGAGCCGCTTTCAATAAGAGCCATTATAGTGAGTCTTCAAGTGAGCCAAAAGCCAGTTGTCGCTTTGTAATGACTTATTTGCATCGTTTTCGGCCCTTAATACCCGATCCTCGCTGTTGTTTCAGCTTGTTACTAACATGTTCTACAGCTTTATGGGCCATATTTTTTATATGCGGTTGGGCTTTTGCTATTAAATTGCTTATATAGGGCGCGGCTTCGCTGAAAATACTTTTAGCAAACCGATAACTTTCCCCCAAAACCCAGCACCGGTCATGGGGGCACCGTGGTATACCGGCATCTCAAACCCATGTTGCCGGCTAAAGGCTTGTAAATAACGATTTTCGTCGAACTTCTGCTCTAGAAGTACCATTTTTTCAGCGTTTCTTGGGTCGAAAATGTAACTTTACTATTGCGGTACCAGGATGAAACGATACATTTGTCCTTAAATCATCTGCGAGTTTTAATACGATGGTCTGAAAGGTGTGCTTGGCAAGTGGCACATAATGCGAATTTTCGTAAATTAATGTAGTGTTGGTGTAGGAACTGGCGGCGGTTGCGATTGTCCTTAGCAACGGTACTATTGCATCGCCGACGAACCCGTGCTCAATAATGTCGCATTAAACATGCGCAACACGACTCTGCTTGCCCGGCCGTAACTGGTACGTCTGACCACCGGCACCGGCATAAAAGCGCTCTTGCAATAGACCCCGCGCCCTCGTATTCTCTGATCCCTGAAACGTTAGCTCGGCATCGGGATTTACGACCAGCTGTGTGGAGCAACCTGTCACGTCAATATGTCCAAAGATGGTGTCTTTGTCCCGCAGCAGAAAGTTTATTTTCCAAATTAGTTGATAGTGGTCATTGCATGACTCTTTGTCTAAATACCGACTTTGCCTCGGTGTGGTCTTGGTTTCAACCAGCACTGCCAAACCCTCAGTTAACCTGAGACGCATCGGTGGTAAAATAATTTCGGAAAAACCGACTTCCATCAAGATCAATACCTTTGGCTAGCAAATTTGTGAATTACCCACAACGATTTGCGGGATAAATGTTGTGTGATGCGGAAGACGGTATTGTCATATAAAAACTCATTATAGATCTTCTTTGTTTTCCCAAGAGTCGTAAGCGGGGCCGTAACCGTACCAACTTATCAGGCACTGCTGTTTTCCCTTGTACATTCTCTCCTTAATATACGTGATATACGATGAAACAATCGCTCGGTCGTAATAAATTTTGACAGTTCGATGGCATAAAAATCCCCATCAATTTTTGCACCTCCTAGGTTCTCTAAAGCGTTAATGTAATAATTCTCTGGTCTTTTAACTTGTACGATTTAAAGAATTTCTTCAGTGTAACTGATTTCGTATCCGTTTTCGAACGTCTGCTCGCATTTCGCTATACGCACGAGATCCCCAACCTGAGAGCTAGGATTTTTTTCCTGTGGCTCATCTATCCTATCCTGACGTATAATGCGCGCTTCATTCACGTCCACTTGACTGGGGCAAACCCTGTACTAGAGTGAACGGAATTATTATACGATTTTAAAATCTCTGGTAAAATATTGAGGTACTTGAAAGTATTATTTTCTGTCATGTACACTTAAAGACGTTCCTTAATTGTTCGGTTAAATCGCTCTAACATGGCACATTTAACATCGTCGTTTTTGTTGTAAAAAACCTGATATCGTGATCAGTAAAAAAATCGTGATCAGCCGTTATTTCACCGGCGCTGTTATCGGCGATAAACAGCGGTTGAATCGCACATAATTCTCGGATTCTACAATGAATTTTTGCTCAATATTGGTTATCCAATATTGAAAATTGATTTCATATAGCACGTTGCGAAAATAACAAGGTGGTGAACATGGTTGTACCTGATGTGCATTTTTCCCCTCAGGGATATTCCACTCAATCTGCAGCATTTGATTGTACCAGATCGATTGTTGTTGGGATCGCACATCGCCATTCTCGCCACGATGAATGTCAAAAAAGAGCTGTACTGTATCCAACAGCTCGGCTTCCTGATATAACTGACGGATGGCTGTTTGCTCTTCTGGTTTAACGTCACTGGCATAATGCACCTACAGGATATTGACCATATAATTTTGTAAAATTGGATTACCGAAATAAACCCGCATGTTACTCACACTGACAATTACTCCCGCATCTTTGTGCATTATGTGTAATACTGTAAAACCGACCACTTTGCGATTATCCTCGACGGAAGTAGGTACCGGATAGTCGATACGACAGAACCGCTTTTTACAATTGTCCATTCCACGCGTTTCCATTTACCAGCTAACTTCTTCTGCTCTTCTTCTTCCGCTTCCTCATCACTTTCATCCGTAGTGGGTGGTCGCGGTGCGGTCGGTGGTCGCGGTGCGGTCGACTAAATATAACCGTCGAACTCGGCGTCAAGACTTACATGGTTTTTCGGTGGTTCATCATCATATACCCCCGGGTACGCTTGATCACTGTGCGCGTCAAAGAAGGCGTCTTCGCGCTATAAATCCCCCAGCACGAATTTATATATCGAGAAGCATATAACGAAGATCATTCAGTAATTGATCACTTAGTAATCGACTTGGCCAGTGAAATCGAGCTTCTCCTTTATCATTGGCAGCGTTTCCGTTCGCTAGTAAATACATGTCAATCTCGTGGTTTTTCTACGCTTCTGTGCTGTGGTTATCAGCTTTCTCTTCGACATAGAGATTCAGCAAACACGAATAGCATCGAAACGGGATCGTTCCCGTCATCCATCGCTTGCTCCGTTCTGTAACCCTAATTGCATGACCCGTATTATAATGGTGATCAGAAAACATATGAATTATGACCAGCTGTACAATCTTATTTCCTGTGCCGTAGTAAACAGAGCCGTTCATACTGCGTAAAGACTATGAATAGTACACCAAAACCAACAACTTGTTTTCAGTTTTGATACAGTTATTCCAATTATGAAAGCTATCCGTTGTGTTTCTAACACACGAAAGAGTACCCTTGCAGAATTTGGACATAGTAAAGTTTGTACTGGGCTTTGTTGGTAATCAGGTAGCCGATGTGGAGCGTGGCGAAGGATGGATGCTGCTAAACGAACTGGTCAACTGTAAATTCGTTGTCCAAATACACTTTTGAAAATCGCATTAACCTTTTCTGTAGCGTGGCTATATCGGTCTCGTATGTCTTTCATGGCCTTTTCTTCCAATGGATACGCGACCAGTTGCTCTAGCAGGGCCTCCAGGTCGCTTAGCGTCGACTGCTGGTGCGCAAACTTCTGAAGGTTCTTTATGGCATTCTGCTTCTCCCGTCCTGCAGCAGTTTGTTCTACCGCCACCGCCAAATAAATCAGTTCCTTTTTATGCGCCTCAAAATACTTATGATTTGGCTCGGAAGGAATCGACCGAAAGCAAGATTTTCCTTTCTGCTTTGCCGCATACTGTTGCTGTCGTACATTGTCCAACTCTTCTTTTGCCTGTTGCGGCGATATGAAATGGTTCACCATTGTCGTACACAGTTAGCAAAGATTAATAGGAAGAGGTTCATGATGGCCAGGAGGAATTGCCCGAAGAAATCGTAGCCCTGGAACTGGCGGAGCAAGACATTCAGTTGATGCGGGAGTGTGCCCGCCGCGGAAACCGTAAGTACTTCGAATATGTAGCTTTTTTTATTTTATTATATATCTATAAGTTGTAGTGCCATTGCGCGCCTTTGTTAACGCGATGACCGACGAAATGCACGAACAGGCTGCCGAATCGACAGAATTTCTTATTCAGTTTAACAAATAATGTTCTTTTCGTTAGCTAGATTGCTTTCCTTGTGATTTTGCGTTTTTTTTAATTTTTTTAGCACATTTAGCTAACGCTTTAAAGGCTTAGCTTATTAACCGACTATTCGTGATTAAGCTTGTCTCCCTTTATTGATATAGATCCGTCAAATTATTCAAAACATATACATGGACAGTAGTTACAGCTAGGGGCGGTAGGTACAGGGGCGGGGGGGAAGTTAGGGGACCGGAAGTCAGGACTAGGGGGGCAACGTAAGTTATGGCGGGCGACGACGGCGCGGGGGGCGACGGACGTTGGGGCAGTGGAGGAGGAAACAACATTATGGCGGACGCGGGGCTGCGGCGGACGCGGGGGGCAATGACGAACGCGGGGTATAGCGATGGAAGCTTGCCACGGCGTGGAGAGTGTTCGTGCGCGTCTGTGAGTTCCGCGGATGCGCTGTATCAGGTAAGTACATATTCTGCTAAGCAACTTACTCATTGTGAATCTGCATAAAGCCAGTAATATGTGTGCAGTTTGTGCAATTTTGTTTAGCAGCAATCGTGGAGTGTTTTACTTGATCATCGTTGGCGTGATTTTGGGTGTTAATGGTATCTACGGTGGCGGTTCGCTGGTGTAGTCATGGACCTTGCATTTTTCCAGAATTTCTTGCAAGTAAGCCTTGCTGACAGAAAGAAATTCACTTTTACTGCTAATATTTTTTCCCGTATTTTCTGAGTATTTTTTGCGCATTTATGACATTATGCTGAATTAAATTTATTGCGATTTACTGTTGCCAAATTCTTTAATTATGTGTTTTTAAGTAACGAAAATTATTTCTTTATTCATCCAGTTTCACGTATTTATTTGCGAGTACGCTCGAGCTGGAATAACTTTTTCATTTGAATTGATGATGCTGTTTTAAGGACGCACTGATATCTACCAACTAATGGTTTTTCCACATCGTAGATGGGTCCTTGGACGATATGACTAAGAATCTGAGTGCAGGTACAGTTTTTGCGTGATCGATTTCAAAACAACAATGGGAAATTGCCTTTTCATCATCCAGGTTAGTGCACGGAGTTATCCATTTCTGTCTGTAATTTTGTGTACATTTGTTTCTTGTATAAAGACCAGGAGTGCAGTTTTATTCTTAATGGATGACATCTGCTGTGCAGCGTCGAACTTGAAACCCACGCATATCTATACCTATTACGTTATTATGTGTTACAGGATTTTTTCGGATAAAGTAAAACAAGAAATCGAAGATTGTGCAGCTGATTTTGTAGACGATCACGAATGGACTCAGTAGTGTTAGGTAAGGAATTTTTATAAACAATTTGATTGAGTTTCGATAAATTTATCGTCTTTAATTTATCTAAATAATTTGTACGATTTTTTTTAATTTTTCATTAACTACCGAAATTATTTTCTGATGATTTTTAGGTTTTAATAAGTTTATATTGTCAGTGTTAGCAGTCTAGTCCGAGTTCTTAATAGTTATTAATGGTTGAATTTTTGGCCTTGTGAAGTCATTTATCAATAATTTAAATGATGCAACTCTGTTCGAGTGACAGGATATTAGAATGTATTTTTATTGACTCAGTTGACTGTACAGATATCAATATTTACCCAGTTTTGTATGGTGCAAAAATAAGTCAGCCAAACTGTAGTGTACGTGCTGGAGTGTCGTTATACGATACAATTTTTTGTTTTGAATACCTTCGCAGAAATCAGCCTTTGAAATATCAACAGAACGCATGTAATCCGGTCGATTTTAGATCGTGAGATACGGTGTTTTGTGTAATTCGCACCTTTCGGTAGCCTGTGTCAGCTAGCTCAGCTTTTTTATTAGTGGTACGATTATAATTTTTATTCTTGTAACATACAGCTGTAAAGACGTGGTGATCGTATCCGCTTGCAGTAGCTCTGTCAGTTATAGTGCTGGATAACTTAATTTTAACTGTATCCGCTAGACGAACTTGCACCACAGAGTCTGGTGTACGGAAAAATGCAGGCCCAATATACGAACTTTGCTCCGTGCAAAAATGTTTTTGATTTAAAATGTTTTCACTCTGATACCACCACCATTTTCCATGTTTTGCTGTTCATTGCTAGTTTTTTAATTCTTTGCAACGTTAGATTATTATACTAAGAGCACAATGGCAGAGCTCTAATGTTTTTATGTTTGTAAATCTGGTTTGTTGTGGTTTTTGGGGTGCCCCTGTCAGGGGCAGGCAGGCACAGAGTACAGTACTAATACTGAATGGCAAAGTGTGCTCCGCCCGGTGGTAGGAAGGCTCGTGCTCAATCCCCGGCCAGTGGCAGGCAGCGGCCGGATCTAAAAGTGGTGCAAGTTCGTCTAGCGGCTACAGTAGTTATAATTTTCTTAATATTTACTGCATTTTGATATAAAAGGATTTCTTCATTCTTTATTATAACAGAATTTACGGATCGTTTATTGAGTAATTTCGTGTTGTTGTGACGTAGAAATGTCCACACCGGAAGTCCAGAGCGGACGTGACAAGCTGCAGAGCGCGCCGCGGGACGCCAATGCTGCTGCCAAGGCTGGTTATTGCATCTTCCACACGTCTGAGTGGCAACATTGGCCGGTGTGTTAGTGCATTTAACCCATAAAAATCAACGCAGAACCGCCGTTTTTCGATTTTGCCTTTTTTGGCGACCAAAACCACTGGAAAAGACCGGGGAGAAGTTGATTACCTGACATTTTGATCAAAAGCAATGTCAAGTAACCTGATGTTGTAAAAATGCCTGCCTAGTGGCGCAGGACGTAGTGCAAATGCCGGACGAAGGGTCATAGAGAAGTGTGAAGTATGTGTGAAGTAGTACGTGTGAAAATTTGAATTCATTTTTAGCTTGAGTAATTAATCGTCGATATTTTCGCTGATTTGCTATATGTTCCCAGTGGGTGAAAATCGGTTTATGTTGCCCTATGCTGGAATATTCATATCTTCAAATGGATGTTCTTCCCGCTTGCTGTAGGCTATATGGGGTATATCTATTGTGAAATTATTAAAAGAAGGCTGGCTAAGGGAATCTTTAACGTAGATGGAAATCTTTAGCCCTTCTCGTGCTGCACATTCTTGGAAATGAAACCATCCCTTGTGTAACGACATTTACACATTTTGCGTGATCTGCAACCAAAGCGTGTGGGCGCTGTATAGTGTTAACGAGTAACCGAGGCGAGACCCAGCGCCAATAACTGAGTAGTGAAGGGAAATTTTTAAGTTTGAGACAACATCGTATAATCGTATCTGGTCATTTTTGCGTATAAAGTTAAAAGTCTAAAAAATATGACAAATTGTCACCCGCATTATTCCCCCTAACATATAATAACTATACAGTACTAAGAAAAAACTGAACCAACTGCATACATGCACGTTGAATGCCAACTAATTGAAATTCGCGGCTTGATCTACAAGGGAAAAAGCAGTACCGACTTCATTAAGTACGGCGAACGGTTAAATGGATGTAAGCTGGTCAGGAGACAAAATTAGTGCCCTGAAGTACAGTCTAAGTATTTATCCAATTAATCTCAGCGAACGTTTATTTGCGTGATCGGCTTTCTCTCGTTCTGCATTATAATTTAATGACTGGATATTCGGCTTCGTTTTCCTTGGCTGGTTGCACCGTTACGGAAATTCTAAGTATAATCAAAATTATAAATGACAGATTTGCCTCAAGGAAGAAAAGTAAAATGAGAAAACTGCAATGTTTCAAAATGCAGGCCTCGCTAAAGATAAACGCGGTCGTGTTGTGCAACAAGTGATCGTACCAAGTTACCAGCTGTATGGTGATACTACTTGAGAATATATTGTGATTATAGATCTTTAAAAGCCCTTGCAAATTGGTTTTAACTTTAATCGATGGATTGGGACGGAAGCACAGTGTTTTGTGTAGAGCGATAAAGTTACGCCTTCATATTCTTGCAAATCAACTGAAATTTTCAAAACGTCGTTTCGTCCGGCCAGGTAAATGAGTCGCCAGTTCTTGAAGGACACCGCGCAACTAGTTTCTCAGGCTGTGTTAAAGTGAAAATCGGCTCATCTTCTTCTTCCGTTTTGCACTCTTCACACTGGTCGATTTCCGGTGGAATCGTTTCCGCATTGTGCGACCAGTGTACTGCATTGTAATAAAATAAGGAATGCTCCTCCTCTCCACATTTAACAATTTTATTCGGCCATTCGGATTTAAGGCGGTCAATGCTGGTGTTTACTGCTTTAACACCCGTGGCGCCTAAAATCATACGCTATCCCGAACTGAACACTTTATCCGTGATACCCAAATCATTGTATCGCGTTTTGGCTGCATCAAATAGTTCCGGCTCGTAATAAAGGCTGTTGACTTTTGCAGATTTATAATGGTTAATAGGATGTTGATGGTTGTACGTCGCTATAATATTTGCAATACGTTTGCTGAGGACAGTGGCTGAATAACCAAGCTGTGTCAAGCGGGAACGGTATCGCTTTAACAATGTGCGAACTTCCATCTCAAAAGTGCCATCGCTGAAAATCGCTTTGCCCGAACTAAAAACCTAAAAATAACTGCCATCATAACTCATAAGGCGTAAAACTGAGCGCCTTAAAATTTTTCAGTTGTACACTTAGTGGACTATAATTTTCACAGATGTACACTTAGTGGAAGACAGGAACAGTAATTGTGTGATGAACCGTTTTCAAAGCAGAATAAAATCAAGAATTGTACGAAAATGAAAGGAACTAAGACTGATTTTAGGTATCCCTACATAGCTATTTTATATGGTTTTCCTCAATCGATTCTGCAACGAAAAAGTATGAATTTCCGATAACTGTAAGCCAATACGAAGTCAGGCTCCACCCTCAAAAGAAATCCGGAACTTTTCCTCTCCGATTCAGAGTGCTAACCAAAGCCACAATACTTTCAGCTTGACTCGGCATGCCTAGTTGTAGAGGAATACCGGAATGCTGCCGGAAGCCCCCCCCCCCGAGACAGTGGCACAATACTGAAAGCCCCTGGGAATATCCGGGGCCCACCCTTAGATCACACCTTCCTTTACGGACGTGCCCCTGCATGGAAAATCGGCGAGAGTGTGCCCTTACAGGTACCTAACGGCAACTACTCTGCAGGCTAAGGTGGCCCTCTGTAATTGAGGAAAAATCTATGGGGGTGGGGTGGGAACCCCTGGGAAGTGTGCTACTTCGCTGCAGCAAGTAGGTTCCGTACAAAGTTACCAGACCCCGTAAAAACCTTGCGTGGAAAAATCCCATGTAGCCCCATGGGCATTGGTGCCGAATACCAGCCTAAGAAACTTCTCTATTCAGCAAGAAATACTTAGCTTGAAAATAAAAAAGACTTTCGCCACTCTGACCTTTTCACATCGTAGAGGGTTTCATTCGGGAAGATGTACAGCACATGCCAGCCGCGGCCGTCAAAGGCCTGGTGGGCAACGGATCCCACCGGCGAATGCCGGCGCGACGACTTGCGCCGCCAGCCAGTTGCTGTTTAAATGCCGACGCCCGACCGGCTGCTGCGGTTGTGAAGTCATAACGGGGAAACAATAGGGTGGATGTGGCTGGTGTGACGGCAGGATAGACGCCGACGCCATGCTGCCGCAAGGCCGGCTGTAGGGCTTGTGCCCTGAATGCGGAGAGTGAAATGTCGCCTGGTCCCGGTTGTTTAGACCGAACTGGGGAGCCGGCGCCTGCCGCTACGACAACTCCGGCTGTTGCTGCTGATTATATGGCCGATGTTGTTGGTGTGGATAAATATCAGCTTAATCGAATTAAAATGACTGTCCGCTTATTGAGCACCAAGAAACGGTAGCCAATGGCTTCCCCACTCTTAATGTAGAGCTCGAGTCGTCCATGATTAAAAAAAAACGTGCATGAGGACCGCAGAGATATATAATGACAAATTGTTTTAAGCACGCTTTGATACGTGCGGTGGTGCTTTGATTATCAATGCCGAACTGCTTATTTACACTTAATAGAGTGGCAAGAATTATTATTCGGTTATTTGGACCATTTTAAATGTCCTCGAACTGAAATTACGATGGATGTCACTTTAGTGAGGAAGAATGTATGGGCACCTCGCGCAGTCCTGGAAAATCCAAATCTCGACGGAATAATTGTCTGGGAAACAATTTCAGTTATATTTTATGGACAGAGGTCCATGCGACCCTGTATTGGTAACAGCAGCATTTAGATTTTTTTGTTGCTTTATGGGAATATCAGATCCGTTATTGCGAAGTCTTGGATAATCCTGTCTGTGGGGGTTGCAGCTACCGGTCAGTTCCATTTCATCGGGATAACCGTGGGCGCAGCCAAACGTTATGCAGCTGCTCCTAAATTCATCGAAAATCAAAAAATAATTAATCGGAAAATGACGAATTTTGAAGTAATGCAAAAGTCTCATGTGCGAGCCTTCCTTCCATGCTCAGAAAGAAAGGGTGAAGATCAGTTAACTGCATCACTGCGCTATGCCTTTGAAGTTTGTACTTTTTGTGAGGTGTGCAAATGTCGAATGGGAAAGCGTCGCCGCCCGTCGTGCATAAACAAGTATTAAGGATCATCTATCCTTCGCGACCCCAGGAACTGCTGGACGATTCTAAGACTTGAGTTCGTCGGATTTTGGTTTGAACATGTGCAACAACACTAAAGATAATGGTAAAGGCCTGTGCGCGGACTACATGGTCGAAACAAACTGGTGAAGTTATCTTTCATATTAAAGGCACTTCAAACGACATAAAACTTGTGGTATAGGTGCTTGCGCCAACCGTGGGTTCCCACCACTTCACATAAAGTGGTGCTTGCGCCAACCGGGGGTTCAGATGTAATGTACGAGGACAGGCTTAGTATTCGCGATCACCTAAAAAACTAGCGAGAATTCGCGATCACCGTGCCCGGGCTTTGCAGAACAGCCAGTCACCAGCCAGCCACCAAAGGAAGGCAGTGCAGCGACACTCCACACAGCCATGGGACTGGACTGCCTTCCCTTGGTGGCTGGCTGGTGACTGACTGTTCTGCAAAACCCGGGCACGGTGATCGCGAATTCTCGCTAGTTTTTTAGGTGATCGCGAATACTAAGCCTGTCCTCGTATTGTTTCTCATGACTTTCCTGAATAAATAAATGACAAGCGAAAGTATTCATGCAATAAGGCATTGGAGTGTTTCGATGTCTTTGGGCGGTGTTGTTCAACTTATCAAGATGGAAGAAGAACAATCAAAAATAACTGGCCCGTGCTCAAGCTCTGACTCTGACTCAGACTCTGACCGCTCAAACTCTGACTCTGACTACTCAAAGTCTGACTCTGACTGTTCAAACTCTGACTCTGACTGAATAACCTAAGAATAACTTAAGAAACCTAAGAAACCTAAGAAAACTAAGAAATCTAGGAAACCTAAGAAACCTAAGAAACCTAAGAAACCTAAGAAACCTAAGAAACCTAAGAAACCTATTAAAAAACCTAAGAAACCTTCAGAGTCAGAGTCAGACTTTGAGCGGTCAGAGTCAGACTTTGAGTAGTCAGACTCAGAGTTTGAGCGGTCAGAATCAGAGTCAGAGTCAGAGTTGGAGTCTAGGCCAAAATAACTGTGTTCACCTGGCTTTGCGCCATCTTCCCCTGCACCGTGTCCGGACCTAATGATTTTCTTTCGGAAAACAAGGCTTGAAAATGTTAAATGCGATCGAAAAAACGTGATTTCATCACGATGTAAGTAGGTATCGCAAGCAAGGTCAAGCTGTTTTGGATGTAAGTTACACTGTCCATCACGAAATGTTGGGCTATACAGCCTTTGGTAGCCGAATGCGTAGAGAACAATGTTATCGCTCCTAGTTGACGAGAATCTTTTAAAATATTTAGCAGACAAATTTACTCTGTATGTTCACAATAATCAAACCGACTGGTTTAATTACGCACGTAACTTAATCTTCGCAAACAATACTACCAAACACAGTACAACAATGTTATACCACTTTGTATCTGTTGACTGGTGTAAAACCATACCT